AACTTGAGTCTTCTGCCCTGACTTTGAGCTCAACATTTAGCTTTGTACTTGTGAATGAAATGATTGTGTGCTTTCTGGAAGTTCAAGCATAATAATTACTCTATTTGGCTATACAGTTCAGCTTTTACATTTTATAAGTTTCGTTTTTCAACTGCTTTGTAGGGAGCTATCCACATGTTTGAATTTAGCTTATTGAAAATCTTCCCACTTGGTACTGTCAGTTAAATGTGACGGTAAATACTCACTATTCTTGGACTTGCAGTGTACTGTTTCTGTGTCTGTATGGGATAATTGACAGAATATTAGTTTTACAGGAGTGTTACAGCTGTCCAAATTCTAAATACCAACTATGAGTAGCACCATAGGGGAAGATTCCTAATCATTTTCCAAGTTCTCCGTGTTGGTGACAGGTTTCATGTGTACACTCAGCTATTAAAGCAATAGATTTTCTTTCATTTCTTAATCATTAACAACTTTACCTCTGATTGCCCATGGAGTTGCAAGCTGTTAAAATTATCATTTGCCTCTTACTAATTTTGCAGCCAAGAATTGTTTCTTCAGTTGATGCTGTGCAGGTCTTTCTCCGAGCACATATAACTCAGGAGCCCCAAGAATCTACCATAAGAAAACCTAATCTTAAAATAATGAATTTATAAAATAAGTGGCAGTTAAGAAAGGGTAATACTATTAAATACTAAAGAATTTAGTTTTTAAAGAACTCAGCCCAGAGGATTTTGTTGTTTGTTTTCAGTAGAAAGCTCTCCTGATTTGTATAATTTATTTTTGAGGGTGATTATTAGTGTACAGAAATAGAAGAATCTAAGAGCTATGTTTCGATGCAAAGAATATCATTGGAAATCCAGAAAGAGTTAAGATAGTGTTGAAGTCAATAACACCTGAAAAACCTCTCAAAAAAATTGTCTCACCTTCTGAAAACCATGCAGCTACATTACCTGAACCGAGGTAAAATACTAAACAAATACTTGTTAGAATTGATGTGATGTATCTTAAGGAAAGTTCCTGGTATGACAAAATGAATTATATTGAACACTCATCCATGCATCCATTTCAAGCTATTTATTTCTATTTTCCAAATTTAGTATTAAAATATTGGTTAAAAATTAATTTCCTGTATCTTGATGTGTATATTTTGAGGTAAAGGAATTTGTATCGTAGCATAAGACGCTTGTTACCTAAGTTACTTAAGACACTACGTAAGTTACATCTCAGAAATTTGTTAAAATAAACAGATAAGTTTTATTCTCCCAAGATTTTGTTGGCTAGATCGAGGCTGAGCTGAGGCATATGAATTTTTGGGAAACCAACCAAGATATTGATAAGACATTTGGATTCCTGTATTGTGGACCTGTTATCTAGAAATCATTTATTCCCAAAGGAATCAGCTGAGAAGTATCTGCTCCCTGTTGTTTAACATGATTATTCTTGACATACCATAGGAAGCTCTCTTCTCTGAAAAGAGCCACTAAATTGTAAAGGTGAGGGCAAGGTGCTTTCTTTAGACCGAGTATCAGGAGGATGAACATTGACCCTTTTTTCAGTTTGGTATTGTTGGCTTCTGGGGATCCCTCTTAGAACCAGCCTACTGCCTTATATTACTGTACAGATCTGGGTGTTCTGTAGCATGTTACCCAAGCACTGTCATACGTACATACTCACAGCAATGCTTTGATCCTTGTACGTATTCCTATCCTTCCTGATGCCATTCTTTGTGGCAGACTTTGTCTCCAAACTTTTCCACCAGGAGGAACAAGGTAACTTTCTGGCTTGTAGGAACTCTAGTACCAGACCAACCAAGAATGGCTATAGGTAATGAATCGTTGCCTTTCAACCCACTAATCACCTTGTTGCCTTTACTCTTATATAATTAGAATGAAGGCATTTTTCCAGTTCTCACTGTATTTTCTCTCCTCTTTTCTGGATCTCCACTACGTAGGAACTTACACTTTCTCCAAAGTTTACCAAATTGTTACCTATTTACCAATTTACCAAAATTGTAACGAATTTTAAATTCACAATGTAAGAGTTGTGAGTCAGGGTGCTAGATCCCACATACTCCTTGCCCCATTTCTCCACTGACACCCATATTAGTGCATTTGTCGCAATTAGTGTAACGTACTCAGCATCTCCTTTTGCAAATGCAAACTCCTTTTATCCCCCCCGCCTCTAGTAATCAACATTTTATATTTAGATTCACTGGTTTTTGTAATGATTAATTGTAGCTCCTGCTTAGGAAGGGATTAAAAAATAGTTGGTTTTGGTTTTCTGTGCCTGACTGACTTTATTTAGCGGTAAGTGTCCTCCAATTCCCATCTAATTTTGCTGCATACAACAGGATTTCATCCTCCTTTATAGCTAATATTCTGCTGTGTATGTATTTTATGCTTTCCTTATCCACCACGTGATGATGGCCACCTTGACTGAGTTGCTGTTCCGGTGACTGTGGGTATCTTTCTGATGCAGTGAGATCATATGTTTTAGGTAAATATCCAGTAAATGAGATTGCTAGATCCCACGGAGACCCATCTCCAGTGTTTTCTGTGATCTCCGTATGTTGTGCACAGTGGCTGCACCAACTTAAGTTTCCGCCATCACTATTGTACATTTTACATCTTCCTACATGCTTTTTTTCTCTTGCTTCTGTTGGTAGATATTCCACGTCTGCCCTAATACAGTAAGTAAACCTTGAATTGGTGCTTCCCACTCAATGGAGGTGTTAGTAAGCACAATAACACACTGATACATGCATCTGGATTTTCATTTCTTATAGAAAATGTGGTATTTTCTTCCTTTGGGAACTTTTGTCTCCCATACTAAGAGTTATCCCCATCTTGCTAAGAAAACAGTTAATTTTTCTTCCGGGTTATAGGTTGCACTATTTGCAGGTAGATTGTAATAATTTCTGCCATCTGAACACATATAATTTAAGAGGAATATGTATGTATCTTTTTGTTGTTGATGTTAAATTCTGATTGATGAACATCCATGGCGTTCTGACTACTGTGTATAATAAGGGAAGAGTGTGAAGTGTAGCTGGGCAAAGTCTCCTATTGTTTCATAATGTGCTACACATATTTATGTATTTATATGTGCAAAAGTCCGCCAGGGTAAGCAAGCCCAGTTCCTTCACCTCCTTTGATTTGAAATCAATGCATCCAATCGCTTCTCGGCCTTTTGGCTAAGGTCAAATGTTGAAGTCAATGCATCCAAACTCCATTGACTTAAGTGAAAGAACATACTAAGCAATTTTATGATGTTGTTAGTGATATGAGATCTCATAGTTGAAAACAAGAGAAGCTTAACATCATAAATGAAGTTAGGATAAAATCAAGCCTGCTGAAACACAGTGCCCCCACACACAAGAACACAAAACACATGCCTTCCACAGGGTCTTTGCTTCTCTACAACAGTTCTTTACAGTGGAAAGAAAAATCAGAAATACATTTAGCTTTTCTTAAGTGTTACTTGTATGTCCTAAGACATGCTCTTTTGCTGTGGCTTGATATGGCCTGAGTTTAGAAATTTTTCCAGAAGATTCTTTCATTGAATGAAAAGAGCAGGCTTAAAAATCTCTCATATCATTACTAAAAAGCAACTAGTATTTTTGTAATGAGTGGCATTACTAAAATTAAAAACAAATACGAGAAGTATTGTTTACCTTGTTCTTCATCCTCCGACTTCATTTTTGTTTTTCATAGTTGTTTGATGCTATTATGTAAGAAGTAAATGTAAATGTTGTTGTGAGAAACTTGGTAATATTCTATCAGTTATAATTGATACTGTTCAAGATTGAATCATTTCACTAAGGCACCTGAGTATTGGGGTGTGGGATATTGTACCAGCTCCATTGATTTTCTCTCTATTGTAAGGGTGCACACACCTTTGAGAATGTCCTGTTCACAGATTTAGGAATTATAATTCATAATAGCTTTTCATTAATAATACACTTGCATTGCATTAGTGTAGAGAATGAAAAGGTGGTTAGGATTTTCTCATATATATATATAATGGGAAAATAGGGGAGAAAAAAGAGGACACATGTTATAATGGCAATGATTCTATTACAGATTCTAGTTTTTTTCCATGCTTCTCTGTTATTTCCCAGCTTCAGAAATTCTGATTAATACGTGAGAATCTGAACAAATCAGGCAACTCTAGTTGATGCTTACTTGTGTTTGTTGGCTTGTCCTAGGGGAGTTGCACACTTTTCTCATGTTATTTTTTTCCCATGAATTCCTGCGTCTTGCCCATGTGCTGAGGCACATTTTCTCTGTCTAGAGGTATGAGACATACATAAGTAGGCATAATTAGGACTTAAAGATGAGTATATTACTGTAGCCATTTTAATGCCATTCATTCATTTTTACTTTGGTGAACTCTATTTGTGCGTTCATTATTGCATGTCCAAGATGATACAGGCTTACAGCCTGGGTATTTGCAGATGGGGATAATCAAGGGAGATGTGTACACTGAGACCCATGGGACTTGTCAGGGGATATGAGAGAACATGTTATGGGATTTGTAAGCTGATGTGCTTTGGAGCTATAAAGAGACTGAGGAGCATTGATCAATCTGAGACTGAGCTCTTAGATACTTGCTCAGGTGAAAATCCCAATGTATTTCACATATTTGTACCTTGTTCCATTGGTCATTGAAACTACTTTCAAAACATCAGTTGAAAATGTAATTATTGATATGTTGCTGCTGCATCTGTCTAAAACATAATTATTTCATGCTTAGGTAGATTTCTGTATTTTGCAAAACAGATCCTCTTTCTGTGGCTCATTCCTGTTTGTATTTCTGATTAAAAAAGAATTCTACATCATAACTTAATGAGACTGTCCAGAAAAAAGTAAAATTCTCTCACAATACATTAAAGAAGACAGAATAAAATCAGACACCTGGGAATTTTGGATAGTGTAAAAACAAAGCAAGGACTAATTTGGTTGATTTGGTTTTTTTTTTCCACCTAATATTTTTAGGTACAAGCCTATGCAGAAAGTGGATGGAGTCACAGATGGTTTCACAGGAAGTGGTCAACAGACAGGCACATCTGTTGAGCAAACTGTAATTGCCCAAAGTCAACATCATCAGCAGTTTTTAGGTATGAGAAGGTTTAATGCATCTTAGCTGCTGTCGGATTTTCAAAACAATACTCATAGTAATTCCTCCAAATGCAGTGTCATAACAGATGTTAATTAGAAAGGTTTTGTTGTTGTTGAGGAGGGTACTGAAAGTGTTCACATAAAATGATAGTGATTTGCTTTCTCTTATTCACTGGTGCTTATTTTTAGAATGTCAGGTTATTTAAGACTTTTTAATGCATATGAGTTAAATACGTATTGCTACAAAATTGTTTTTTCATTATTTAAACTAATTGGCTTTTGTGGACTAAATTGTGTTGTGTTTACCTGTAGTTACTCTTGCAGTGCCAAGAAAATTCTTATTTCTTGGATATGAAAAACATACATACAGTCTTGGATCTGAGAAATTATATTGTAAAGAAATAATGTAAAGAATCAATGGGTCCATGGCATTTCCCGTTTATTCTGAGTTGTCTGAAGAATTAGTACTAAATTAAACTGTCATGCAATTCTAGTAGCCACATTTGTGTCTAGGGTATATGAGAAGGCGATGACCAAAGTAAAGGATATTGGTTGTGCAGTGTTGGCAGGAGCGGAGACTTAACTGTCTGTTATGCCTTGTCCAGGAAGCACATGTGATGTCCCTGTCTTCTGTGTGGAGAAATGTTTCATGGTCCTTTGAATGTAGAAGAGTTAGGGGAGTCATGGCTACCGGGAAGTGATGCTATGTAGACCCATCAAACCCCAAAGACTGTGTGCCGCTGCAGCCAACAGCTTGTTCATGCTGTCAGCGGACTTCAGGTTTATGACTATATAACAGATACAAGCATGCTAAGTTTAAGGCCAGATTTTTTTTTATGTAGTTCAGTGACATAATAATAATACATGTAAGTAAAATGGTATCAGACTCGAGATACCAGTAGGAGGCTGTGATACCTGATTCCCAACATAATTGTAGTATTAATTTAGTTTGCAGAAAATCCTTACGTGTATCCTGTCTACATTTTGTGCTGTAGAAGTTCCTGCATTTTTGCTTGTATGATGTTAAGACAAAAAGCTTTGGCTCTTTGTTACCTTTTGTCTCCAATTTTTTTTCCTCATTTTTAGTCTCCCTTAAATTTTCACTCATTAATGTGTAATTGGCAGTTTCTGAGAGAGCTGTTTTTGCTGTTGTGTTGTCATGGTAACAGATGCATCGCGAGCCCTTCCAGAGTTTGGAGAAGTCGAAATCTCTTCCCTGCCAGATGGTACTACCTTTGAGGATATCAAGTCACTGCAGAGTCTTTACCGTGAGCACTGTGAGGTAAGGCTTTCCAAATGTAGTATGAACACATGCTAGGTCTTGCGAGACAACTTCTTAAAAGAATCCAACTTCTCAGATGAAGCTAGTGCCAATTCTTCTGAGCATTTCTTTGGGCACTAACGAATTCATTTTTTTTCCCCCTTTCTTGTCTCAAGGTGAGAAATACAGGAAAGTGAGAATAAATTTTAGTCTGTGTTTCTTAAGCCTGTCCAAGTAGGAGTGCTTTGCTGTAGCAGTTCTTATAGGTGTCCACTATACCAAAGTAGGTACGTGGGTACATGTTTGACACACTGTTCGTTCTTTGTAATGCATAAGATTTATTGCAATTTCCTGTGTCCAATAGAGAACTGGATTAAAAAAAAATAGGCAAGTTATAGATTGGAATACTATACGGTCCTTATAAAGAACAACCAACTTTAAGTTTATTAAAAATAAAACAGGTTGCAAGATTTGGCATAGAGTAATGGGCAAGATGCAAAACAGTGCATAATCATTAGGTCACTTGAGTGAAAGAAAGCACGTATGTGCATGCCTTCCCAGCAGAGAATGCAAATGAGTAGAGAGCAAGTGTCTCTCTGAAGGAAACTGGGTGACGAGAGCCTGGGGGACGGGCTTAATTTTTCAATAGGTTCCCTTTAGCCTTTGGATGTCTGCATCACAAATGTGTATTTTTCTTACCAGTAATTTCTAGAGATGTTTAGCAGAGCATGTTAAGCGTCCTTCCCAGATGGTTTGAGACGTCAGTGTTGTCCCGTTGTCGCAGATCATGGAGGTTTCTGCTGGTGCGTTCTGTCGCTGCTCTTCTCCCCTTCCTCCCGCTACTTTGAAACGGTCTGCATTTTTCTAGAAGGTGTGTTCTCTCCATGCCAGCATGTTAATTTACCTTCAGCTCACCTGGTAGCGAAGGAATAATGGACTAGCATGAGAGTTTCTTAAGTGCCTCTCCTTTTGAAAGAAAATTTGATTTAGAATTTAAGTAGCTTTATTCCACGGGTGTTTGTGATCTACTTGGAAGTCAAAGCTAGGCTGTTGGATTTGCTGCACAGTCCTCCCGGCTACCGACACTGCAGTACGCACTACGAGATCTGAGCTCGTAACAAACACAGGTTTTTCTTTTCCCACTTCAAAAAGTTAGAATTATTTTAATGAACCTGAGAACTTGTCAAGGGTGATGGGTTATTACCAACCAAGGGCAAGTTCTTTCCTTATTAGCATAACATGCACCAAAAGTGGATCTCTCCATGTCCTGCCAGCTCCTAGCACATGCTGGAATAGTGGAAGCTACTTCATGTTCTTTCCCTTTGACTGTGCTTTTCCCAATATTTGAGAATTTCTGGCTTATGCTTATAAATAGAGTTAATTCTTTCTGTGCTGTCATCATCATAGTCTATAAGGATTCTGTCTAGGTTCTCCAAATAGCCCCTCATATCTGCATGTCTGGGTGCACATTGCTTTAAGCATACCAGCCAATGCTAATACAGTTTTCATTATTTTAGTTTCTCATACGCATGCAACAAATAATATGAAGCGTGATTCTTTATCTCACTAGGTGTTTGTATACAGTAGGATTGTTCTAAGTAAGCACTATTGATAAGATGGGATTATTATTTGGATTACAATTTGCATTATCGTCAGTATGCATTTACTGATATGGACTCTGTGAAGAGCTAGGGACATGTCATCTGTGTAGAAAACGACTCACCATAGATGGCGAAATATGTATTGTTTTCACTTACATTTCCTTCTAGATTTAATCTGAACATATTTGAAAGTGGGTAGACAAATGGTACATTTTTTCACTTTTAAAGTTGCCTCGAACGTGACTTAAATGAGTTTTCTTTCATGGAGTCCTGCAGTGGTAGCATATCAGATGAAGCTGCTGTCTGCATCACCTGATTCTCACATGGTGCCTGTTGGAGCATGGACTTCTGCACTTCCAGGCCACCTCTCTGCGTATGTGTCTAGCGAGCAGTGGGAGATGGCCCAAGTTCATGGGCCCTTGCGCCTATGTGAGGGACTGAGAAGCAGCTCCTACCTCCTGGTTTCGGGCTGGCTTCAGACTGGCCCAGCCCTGTCTATTGTAGCCATTTGGGGAACGAACCAATGAATGGAAGATCTTTTTATCTTCTCTCTCAATCTCATCCTCTCTCTGTTGTATAGATATAGATACAGATATTCTCATATATATTTGAGAGAATGAGAGATATCTGCCTTTCAGATAGCTAAATTAATCCTTAAAAACTGATTGTTTGAGCTCATTTAATTTGAAGAGATCCAAACTTAAGATACACTGAAATATCTTACTCATGTTTTTATTGTCAGAGAAACATTAGTCCATCTATTTGCCTGTTGGAATTGTTTAGTTTATCAAAGCCATTTCATAACTAATACTTGGTTTTATTGTGTAAGGAACAAATTTAATATTTTATGCCCTTTGGTGCTGGGAGGTTTTTTTTTTTTTCATCATAAACATAATACTCATTCAGCAGCCTTAACAATTGAAATGTGTAGGTATTAGGGAAAGCAACAATAGTTGCTTCACATGTTCAGAGATGGTTTTTAGTTTAGGCCCATGTTACAATTAGGAATATGGGTATAATAATTTCCCTCTTGAGAAGTTCCTGGTTTTGCCTAAAGTGATAGATAACCGTATATATGTGTTATATTTCTATGGCCTCCAGTTTGCACTGATATTGTTAATGAAAAGTAGTAATTAATTTGTCCCCTTCCCTCCATTTTCCTTGTCCAACTACTTGGAACATTTTGTGCTAGTTCACACAACACACCAACACACAGATGGTTATTTAATATTTGTAGAGCTCTTAGAGCCTGTTTACCATCAGCTGTTCTCTACAAAGGTGGCACATATTCTAAAACTATGAAGTTATTGTGTCTTTCAAGGTTTTTTTTTTTTTTTGCCTGACATACTTAGTTGCACTCTGTGGACTGCCCAGATGTTCTCCATTTTCTGTGAGTTCAGTAACTCTTAGCAAGACTTTCTTCTCTTAAGATTTATTTATTTTGAGTGGAAAGGCAGATCAGATTTACAGAGAGAAGGAGAGAGAGGGAAAGATCTTGCATCCACTGGTTCACTCCTCAAATGGCCACAACAGTTGGAGCTAAGCTAGTCCAAAGCCAGGAATTTATAAAATAAATTCCAGGAGCTTCTTCCAGGTCTCCCACACGGTTGCAGGGTCCCAAGGCTTTGGGCTATCCTCCACTGATTTCCCAGGCCACAAGCAGGGAGCTGGATGGGGAGTGAAGCAGATGGGTCATGAACGGGCACCCATATGGGATCCCAACGCTTGCCATTGGAGGATTAGCCAATTGAGGCATTTCTCTTAGCTCTTGTTGAGGCTTTTTCACCTGTCCTGTCCCCAATGCTACTGACATGAAACACGTTAAATTCTCTATTACCTACTTTTGTCTTTTAAAAAAGAGATCATTTGTTTTTAATTTGATCTAGACACATTGCTTATCCGTTGGTTCTGTGTGAATGCCTGCAGTACCTGGGGATGGGCCTCGCCAAAACCAGGAGACTGAGTCTTGGTCTTCCACATGGGTGGGTGGGATCCCAAGTACTTGAGCCATTTACTTCTGCCGCCCAGGATGTACATCAGCAGAAAGTTGGAATTGGAAATGGAGTAGGCATGCAAAATGTTGGGTGTGGTTGTCCCAGTCGATGTCCAGCATAGTACCAAACATCCATCACCTTTTCAAAAAATCACCATTTTATATGTCTTAAAGAGAAACAACGCTTCTGTCTTTTAATGCTCAAAATAGTGAAAGTGTCATGTGTTCTTTGAACAAGAAAGTTGTCCTTTGATTTTGTGCCTGCTTTTATCTGAAAGCTATTTTATAAATTAATTGTGATGGAAGGATGAAATTAAGTATGCTCATCAAAAACTAATAGGGAAAGTGACAAATTTTAGTGTCATCATAAAAAAGAAAATGCCCTTGATAGGCCTAGAATGTGTTCTAGAAGATAAATCAAACGAGTGTGAGTTGGTGAGCCCCTCCCCAGAAGCAGATAGATAGTCTTAAAGCTGTTCTCTAAAGGGAGTGTGCACAGGTAAGATAGGCTCTGTTAAATTGAATGGGACCTGTTGTGTAACCAAAGATTGATGCCTGCCATGCTTTTTCTGGTGTCCTGAGATGCCTTAGCCCTCTGCAGGCTGCTGGCCAGGCTTGGGGGCTCCCAGGAGTAAGCCCACGATCAGCAGCCTGAGCTAATTCAGTTGCAGCTTATCTACCACACATAAGCACCTGCACACCCATCACTTCCATGCTCACCATGGCTCACGGTCACCTGTCCCCCAGAGGACCAATAACATTTGAATCTGTGCTCTCTGCCCAGCTGGGTCTGAGAATGGAAAGAGTGACAACACCCATGTACACTATAAATAGAATGAGCTGTGGGCAGAAAACAAAACACAGCAGAAGCAAGCAAGCAAGCCCTGGGAGTGGAAGAAAGAGAAAACGGGCTGTGAAGCCATAACGGGCTGTGAAGCCATGACTGGCTGAATCCTTCTCTGAAGACTTTCTCTCCTTTTTTACTTTTTTTCCTAGTGAACCTCTATTCCCTGTTGTCGTTCTTAAGCTTTAGCTGTGTTTCACCAGGCAGTTAACCCATACGCCCATAGGAGACCTTTGCCATCCGACATCGCTTCATTCATCGCCACAAGCCGTTGTTAAGATGGTGTGGATCTTGTTTTGCTTTGTAGGCGATATTGGACGTTGTCGTGAATCTTCAGTTTAGCCTGATAGAAAAATTGTGGCAAACATTCTGGCGCTATTCTCCCACAACTCCAGCTGACGGCACTACCATTACTGAATCAAGGTCAGAATCAATATGCTTTTCCAATTCATTTTCATGGCTGAGTAGTTACCACTGAGCTAATCAATTAAAGATATGTATACCAGTTGTGAACCTTCGAGGTAACACTGAGTAGATTGATGCTTTGGCCATTCCAGAAATAAACCACAAATTGCTCTCTTGAGGTTTCAGTGTGGATATATTGCTCCCATTTTTATTGATGTGGGGGACTGCGGTAGAGTGATTTCATCCTCATGGAATTACTGCCTTTCATACGGTCAGAAAACCTGAATGTTCACAGGCAGCTCTGGGGGAGCGTTTACATGTTTACTTATATGTGTTTATATCCAGCTGTCGAGGCACCAGTGCCATGGCGGTTAGAGTTGTAGCCTCAGTACTATTTAAGAAAAATATTTTTAAAGTCCATTTTCTTTTCTATCCTCATTTGCCATCTATTCATTTGCAACATTTATTCACACCAGCAATCTGAGTGAAATAGAAAGTCGACTTCCGAAAGCCAAGCTCATCACTCTGTGCAGGCATGAGTCTGTCCTCAAGTGGATGTGTAACTGTGACCACGGGATGTACCAGGCTCTGGTGGAGATCCTCATCCCCGACGTCCTTAGACCTATTCCTAGTAAGTTCCACGCAGACAAGTACGGATGCTTTTGTTCTCATACATTCCACTCAGGAAGTTTGGGGAAGTGACGTTGCAAACTCGAATGATTCTAGTCTCATTTGGATTTGCCAAGTAGAAAACATGCAACGTAGACTCTTGCATGAAAGCAGCCTAGAGCAAAACTGTAAAAGGGGGAGAAGGATCTATGTCCAATCTTTTATTTTCCTGTTGATAAAAAAAAAAAGGCCACATTGTAGATTGGTTGCCCCAAAAAACCAGTTGTAACACTTCTCCTGGGTCATTCGATCATGAAGAAATTACTCTTCCAAGAACACAAACCCTTTCAAAAAACAAAAAAACAACAACAAAAAAACCAAAACGACTGAAATCTCTAATTGCCAGGTTTGCCTCTTACGTGGTCACTTTTGATCTTTTGATTTGAAATGAGTTTATCTTGGTTTCCAGTGAAGTTGAATACCTTTTACAAAAGCGTTTGCTTTGTCAACTACATCATTTTAAGAACTAGAGATGCAGTTTCCATTAACAGTAACAATTAACTGGCATTCTAAGAGAAAAATCTTTGTTACTGTGCTAACATTGCATTCCCACCATGAAGCAAATGGGAATTAACCTTGATAGGTTAGATTAGCTTTTTGTAAGTGATGGTGCTTTTTGAACTCCCTTGCAGCAAACAAAGCTATTTACTCTTAAGTATCAATATAAATGCTACCTACAGATACTGTGAGAAACAGTTGACACTCTTTTACACATATATCTGCCTGGTACACTTCCCACTGAATGCTGAAATTAATAAAATAACTTCCATCTTTTGGCTTGTGAAATTGGCAACCGTGTGTGAGTTGCATCAATGTATTCTAAAAAATATATATAAGTAGAAATTTCGCAGAAGGGGAATGTGGTAATTCTTCTTTTTCAAATTACAGTAGACATCCTCAAATGAAAAATTCTTATATTCCCCACTGCCTTGAAACAGATGCTTAGATTCCTTTCCTTGTAATATCAGTGAACACACACACACACACACGTAGGAATAAGTAAACTTGTGTCCGGCTGGCCTTGTCTAACAGCTGTGTACCTTATGATGCCTTGCACTTTGTGTGCGCCAAGGATTCTGACTGAAGGTTGTTTCAAAGCAGCGTTGCCACAGTTGTATGTTCCTAAATCTGATATTTCGTTTGTTTTGCTCCTGCTCCCTGTGCTTGGAGTGATAACCTCCAGAGATGTGGGATGTTCCATATGGTACCTCATTAGCCTGTGACATCTCAGCACCACTATGCAGTTTCTCTCATGAGATGGAACAGTGGATGCCAGGCAGGGCTTCCTGTTTTGAGGCAAATCAGCGGCATCCGTAATTAATGAAAGAGTTCTTTCTGATTTTGCCTCTCCTTTTGCATCACCAGACTTTAACCTGGGAACGTGGCAGTTCCCGAATGTAAATCGTGCATCAGTTACTCTTGACTTTAAACTCCGTAGCTTTAAGTGCCTAGCGCACTTGACCTTTGTTCTTTTGTAAGTTTTAATTTGAAAGCCAGTCTATTCTGACAAGTAATTTGTCTCTGCATTCAGCAGACAGCCAGTCAGTTTTATTTCTGGGAAATTGCCAAAATGCCTCACCATTCCCACCCAGCCAAGGACATCCAGAAATTTAATCGCCATTCTACAGTGAGGCCTAACAAAATCAAGCTCAATATATAGTTCAGAGAGCAGTCTTCTGATTGCATGCATTTTTAATATCAGTCTTGAGCAGGTTGTAACAAGCCAGCTTTAGAATGCAGTTGAAATTCCAGGTCAGCTGTGTATGAGCCTGTACAATTTGTCAGTCAGTCTGTGCAGTTTTGATCTCACATGGATCCTTATCAAGGAAACAAACTTAATTATATTTTTAAAATTTATGTTTTCCTGACTGCCTAGTACTTCCCTCTACTATTTTCTGTCCAGATGGAATTTCATTTTTTAGTCAAAAAAAAAGTCTGTACATCACACTAATTTAAAGTTAGCTTAAAGCTACTGTATGCTAAAATACATTTACCTGAGAATGAGAAAAAAAATTAAATGCAAAGTATTGTGTAAGAATTCAACTGGTAACAAATGTACAGTTGCGAGTGTAATTAAAGATAATCTAGAGTGTCATTTACTAGAAAAAAAGACTAATAGTTGCTTAGTTTGCAGAAAACTCTTATAATTTGTCAAGTTTCTCTAAAACCAGGTTCATTTTTTCTTTAAAGATTATGCATTGGTTCTAACGTTTTGTCATAGGCAGCAATTATTCTGTGTGAGCTCAGGAAAAATGTAATATGCAGGTGGCCTAAATTGAAACTGGGACATAATGTTATCAAGTTTCAAAACGGGTTAATTTTTTTTTTTTTTACTCTTTTTCATTTCCATTCATGCCTGCTCTCCATGGTCCTAGCACGTAATGTAATACAAAGATCTTTTTCGTTCTTTTTCTTTTTTGGCTAACATAGGAAACTGGAGGTTTCAACGTTAGTTCTTAAAACATTTCTGATTCCAGGGTTTCTAATAGAGAGCTCTCCTGTTTAAGAGTCTTACGTTGTGGATATTTTTCCTGTTCAACATTTACATCATTTCAGTCTTTGTTGTCGTCTGACCAATGCAATAAATCTTTTTTTTTTAAATGAGCTGCTTTTGTTAATGAAATAGTAAATTTTTGTCTTTTGCAAATTCTTTCAAACACCTTTGACAAAGCAATAGAGAAGCAAGTCAGACATCTTTTTGCACCAAAATGAATACCAAAAAGAAAAAAAAAAAAATGAAAAGCATACCAGCGTTAGCATTAGTGTTATGGGGAGCCTTGGCCCAAAAGTATAAATCCTTGGTTTCTTATTCTAGACTGCAGATTTTGATAGCACTTTATAAGCAACCTAGGAAGGTTAATTTTAGGTTGTGGGTACTTCAACACTGATTCAATCCCTAAAACTGCTCCTTATGATACGGAGCCTTGGACAAAGAGGAAGTTAAATCCTGTGGGATGAGTTGCTTCCAACAACCTCAGCAACAAGATCCCTTTATGTAAAATGGTAATAAATATTTCTGACAACTCAGGATACTTGAAATCACTTTATGTGTGCCGTAAAATATCCTATTATGGGTATCCGTCATCAGTTCAAGTTTTTACCATATGCAAGAGAGTTTGGAATGGAGTCTGTTAGGAATATATTTTAAAATATCGACCTCTGTGGCAGAGATTTCCTCACACTGGTCTTTCATCTCTACCTGCCAGGTGAACCGGACAAAAACTAGCTAAAGTTTTTAAGTCAGATAATTGTAACAATTGGCCTCACTTTTCAGCTAGCTAAAATAGATAGAAACATAAGACATTGTGTTGGTTTTCTTTTTAACCAGACATGTGAAAATGGCTTTTAAGGTTTGAAAAACAATCCCACGGAAGAACTTTAAAAGGGAATACTTTTAGCTTTGAGCAAAAACCTGATGAAAGGTGTATTTTGTCTGTGCTAGAAAATATTCACAACTGGTATATGTTGTTGTAAGGGAAAAAAAAAACCACAAAGTTTAAATGTTTTCATTTCCTAAAACATGGCATAAGTATCTGGGAAAAGAATGGCTTCCAGAAAAGAAAATTCTGTAAAGCCTTACAATGTTAGGAATAATGTTACAGTTTTGTTGATGAGGACTGAATAATATTGAACGTTGGGGATGTGTGTTTTCCCTTATTCTAGTATAGATTAATATTCTTTGTTATCTTTTTTTCTTCTGCTTTTATTCTTTCACATTTAGGTGCCTTGACCCAAGCCATTCGAAATTTTGCGAAAAGCCTTGAAGGTTGGCTTTCCAATGCCATGAACAACATTCCCCAGAGAATGATACAAACCAAGGTGCACTTCATCTCTTTGTCTTTTCCTTTGTGTCCAGGAAAGCGTTTCCTCAAGGAAGGAATTCTAATTGTTCGATATTACATGAGGGATGCGGCTTATTTTCCTGGAAATAGGGCCACTTGTTTCCATGTGGTCCCCTGGCATTGATGCCAGGTTATTTTATTGCAAAATTGGACTGATGATAAGTTTTGTCTTAATTCGGGGGCTAAAAATCAAATTCATAGCTGTTCGTCATTGCCATACCCAGTGTCCACCTCCCATGAGCTACCTGGTGGTTCAGTCTGCTGTAAGGTAGATAGCCGGAAGTTCTTGTAGCTGGCAAGTCTCTTTGCGAACAAGCAAGGCGTTGTTTTGTCTACATTACCTTAAAGTTTGCAGTAAATATTCTTATTAGTAAAGGCAGCGTTTCACTGATCTGGCCATCTTAGCTTGTTACTTCAGACCATGCTGGCAGTATATATTCAGGCTAGTTAAATTTGAATTTTAAATTAAAATTGAGTGAGGTGAAAATTTAGGCTGCTTGGTTACACTAGCAACATTTCAAGTGCTCGGCTGTTTGATTTGCCCATCGAATACTGTATTGGGCAGCAGAGAGGTGGAGCAGTTTCTTCTCTGCATAAAATTCCCTTTGGCAGGACAGCTGTAGAATATTACATTAACATGGACACACACACAGCAAGTGTTACTGCTTGTGAGAGTGGGATCCTTTCCAGCTTGCAAAATCACGGTCACCACAACACGTCCAACAGCAAAAGCCCTTCCCACCCCAGTGTCCTCCAAGTGACTAGAGCAGCAGTGAAAAAACAAAACAAAACAAAACAAAACAAACAAAACGAAAACCACATCAGCCATCTCCTTGAGCGCCGGAGTTGATTCGTCCGATCACTAAGAGAGAAGATGTTTTCCTCTCCTGCAATTAGCCGTAGGCGGCTGTTCTCGGCTCAGCACTCCATCAGTAAAGGCGGTTTCTCGAGGCAGAAGCAACAGCATTGCAGCGGCTGTGACCTCAGGGATCAGTACACTCAGGGTCCCACCCTTCTCTGATGGAGTTTCCATGCCAACTTGAGCAGCTACTTAACCTCTTTAACACAGAATGTGTTTGTAAGGGGATGTTTTTGAGAACTAAACAAGGTAACGTGTGTGAGGCACTTTAGCCCAGTGCCTGGCAAACAGCATGCCTTGATGAACAGAAACCACAAAAATGGAAAGAAAAAGCCCAGACAGTTCTAAGGGCCTGTGAGCCCAACAGTTTCCCCCCAACAGTTTCCTTTAGTCCTAAAATATCTCACTATCCTCTTTGAAAGATTTTTTTTCATTTTAAAATTTATAACACAGGTTTACAGAAACAAGGAGAGACAGACAGAAAGAAATTGTTCTCATCTGCTGGTTCACTGCCCAAGGGGCTGCAATGGCCAGAGCTAAGATAACCTGAAGCAGGCCTGGCAGGAGGAGCTTCCGCAGGGTCTCCCACGTGGGTGCAGGGTCCCAAGGCTTTGGGCCATCTACTACTGCCTTCCCAGGCCACAAGCACAGATGATGATAAGTGGAGCAACAGGGACATGAACTGGCACCTGAATAGGATGCCAACACCCAAAGGTGAAGGATTAGCCTGTTGAGCCATAGTGTGGACCTCCACATCGCAGGATTATTGCAGCACAAACCACCCAGGCTAGTTCGGAGTGTTGGGATAGACTCTCCCAACACGGTCCTGCTCACTCAACGCTCAGAAAGCAACATCAGGGTGGTAGAAATAATTTTTATTCATTGCAAAGCATAGAGCATGTGGCCCGGCAGCTATTCCTTAGTCCCTAGCTCCCTGAGGAGTTAAGATAAAGATTCTAATAGTTTGAAATTGGGCCCGAGAACTGTGCTTTCAGCTCGTGTTTGTGTTGGGCTGATTGGTAATACCTTACACTTTAGGAAATTTAGGATGGCCGGGTGGGCCTCCATTGGTCTGGTGTAGGGAGAGGGTGTTCCATGTCAGTGTTGATAACCTGCTGGTCCAGACCTGGAACTTTCCTGCCTGCAATTCCCTGGAATTCCCTTTTTTTAAAAAAAATCCATCTGGACAGTGCTGGCCAGCAGGGTATTTTGTGTTAGAGAAAGAAATGACTTTTGGAGTCCAGTGTTTGGAGCCTTATTGGACCGGCTGTGCCCCTGTCTTAGTTCAGTGAGTTCCGTTAGATGCAAGATGCACAAGGACACCTTGGGCAAAGGGAGACAGGTTATACACTGGGTCCTGCCTTTACCTGTGGGGTTTGGTCTCACTGTCGGGAATGTGCATCCTGTGCCATTACCACCCACTGCCACCCGACCAAAGGATTGTCCAATTGCTTGGTAAATATATATATGCATGGTCACTCAATACAGTGTGGTTCCATACACTCCTGTAAATATGGCTAGGTTTTTCACATTTTTAAAATCTTGGAATCATTGAATTTACTCTGCGTATAACGCATTTCCATGAAATCATAAGAGCAGGTATTTATCTAGGCTTTCACTTTCCTTCTTACTTTCCTTCTTACTTTCCTTGATGCCTTCTACCATAAAATGGTTCTTTCAGGGTCACAGCAGGAAACCAGGATTGCATCCAAGGCAGTGGTGGGTGGGCGGGGCCAATTACAAGAGCTTTTAAGAAGAGGTAATCTCCAGAGGTGCCCCAGGTAAAGCACCTCAGGCTAACAGTTGAAATTAGACCTGACCAGTTGAAAAGTGAAGAGGTAAAACCTTGCCATTAAAATCTTCCTTCTTTTTTTGCCCTACAACTGTGTCCAGAAAGGGAGGGCAGAGGTTCTGAGAGAGATTCTGCCCATTCTTCCCCTTCCCTCCCGTCTCTGACTGTTGCCTCTCTGGTCTTAGCCAGAGAGCAAAAGAGGACCGTATCATTTAAGCCTTTACTGTCACTGAGGCAAAGCTAGATGGAGAAGAATGACAAGCAGCTTTTCAGGGGCAGCTAGAGATTTCCTGAATAACCCCTTGAAAGAAATTCCAATTAATTTTCAAAGAGTATGTCTAGCTGCTCCTCTGATAGGTTTATTACCAGTATATTTGCTTATAAAGGTTATCCGCTCTCATTTTATCTCAGAATCACCCAGGTTTCTATTCAATAAAAAGCAATTAAGAATGAATTTGAATGGTAATGGTCTGAAAAGTGTTTTTTAATCCAATTAAAAAGGCATATCTGTATACTTTAATTTTCCAGATTTATTTTTAAAAAGGAAATGTTTGTATTTGCCTACTTTCTAATTTATTACACTAAAATAGGGTGAAAAAATGAAAACCAATATTGTTTCTACTTTCCTGGACAAAATCATTTCTAGCTATGGATGAGTAGTTCCTTGCAAGATTGGCTTAATTAAGGCTGCTCTCAAATGTCAAAGAATGTGGGTGTTTGTTTTAATCTTGACCTCAACCCGCTCACAGGAAAAATAATACTTGGTTGAAGAGACTTAAATGCTGTAATTTACAAGTAAACTCTAACCAAGTGAAATTTCAAGTAAGCGTCAAAGGGAAGCATTTAAAATTCTGCAAGAGAGAAAAGATGTAAAGATAATGGTCATTTGTTGTACTGGAAGGAAAAACAAAATCCCCGCCCACACTGCCGGCTGCATTGGGTATCCTCACAGGTCGCCGCTGTAAGTGCCTTTGCCCAGACTCTGCGCAGGTACACGTCTCTCAACCACCTGGCCCAGGCAGCTCGCGCCGTGCTTCAGAACACGTCCCAGATCAACCAGATGCTCAACGACCTCAACCGGGTGGACTTCGCCAACGTTCAGGTACTATGCATTCACACCACTTTCCCCCCCCCCCCCCCCAGTGGGCACTGCTCCACACCTCTGCCTTGTAGGTAGACTGCCAAGGTGTCTGGTCTTGTAAGGTGATTAGGAATCTTACCCAGCTTAGACCAGTAATTCACAAGTTGGTGACGATCACTCTGTCAGCGAAATGAGACCCAAAAATTACATCTCTCACCAGTGGGAGCTTGAGCAAGTTTCATAACTACAAGGAACTCAAACTCCTAGCTCCAAAGCCAGGAGCCAGGAGCTCTTCTGGGTGTCCCATGTGGGTGAAGGGTTCCAAGGCTTTGGGCTGTCCACAGCTGCTTTCCCAGGCCACAAGCAGGGAGCTGGATGGGAAGTGGAGCAGCCAGGATTAGAACCAGCGCCCTTATGTGATCCTGACACTTTCAAGGCAAGGACTTTGGTGACTAGACCATCGGGCCAGGATAGGATTAATAGGATATTAATAGTAGATATTGTGTATAATATATGATATAAAGTGTTATAGTAATAGGATATAATAACACCCTAATAATTTGGAAATGGTGTCTGTCCTATAGAATTAATCATAGTAAGACAGACAAATATAAGGTTGATATTCTTAGAATCAGCAAAGTGTAGCTTAAAATAGTAAAATTACATGTAAGTTTCAATATTGTATAGTACTCCAAGAGTCTGAAAGTTTGAAAAAGTTCCTTTCAAGATAGCTATCAATCTATTCACTATTTCATTTTTTTCCTAATTATAATCTTTTCCTGATATGTTTAGGATAATTTTTCTTTTGTACTCTCATTGGCTTTCTGGTCTCTTTAATTGTAGCATTCTAATGACAGTATTCTCTAATCACATACAAGTGTTGTTTTTCTTCTGCATTGTTGACTAAATGGGTTTGGGTGTTCTGAGCTCACAGCCCAAATGTTGTACATACTTATCTAGGTATTTAAAAGGCATCTGTGTTTGGAAGTTTCTGAAGACTTGTCAATGTGGTTTTAACCTTTTTATAAGTTAAGAACATTTTTGAATGATCATTCTTGAGTTTTTCAATTAAAAAAAAAACTCTAGTACACTCCATGGTTAGCACGTTTGGTCTAGCTCTCTAAAACCAACTTCTAAAAGAATCACATGCATAAGTCATACTGACAAATAGGGTGAGTGATGAAAAAAAGGGGGGTGGGAGGTAGGGAAATTATAACAGCGTCTGAAAGCCAGAAAAATGTGTCACGGGTTCATTTCTTTGAGTAATGTTTTAGATTAATAATTTTTTTCCTGACAAAATTTAATTCCCAAACAAATAATGAGTTTGAATTTCTGGAAAGAAATGAAATGAAATTTTGGCTCAGGTGCCTGTAAGATTTTCCTCCCTTTTATCCACGCACAAGCCAGGGTGACCTCGCCACTGTGGTGCAGAGATGCAGTCTGGTATCTGAAGAACTTCCAGAGATCTGCTGTACAGCAGAGTGCGCTGTACTCTTAGAAAGGGTGAAGATGGCATTTTTTATGTAATTAAAAGGATACTTAGCTGTTAATAAAAACACGAAACACTTAACTCCCCATGCTTTCTTGATGCTTGAAAAATGTTCTCTGGCTCTCCTCAGGGACGACCCTTAAATCGCTGTAAAAAGACCTGTAGTCATTACACAGCATCAATTCAAGATCTTAACCATTCTTTTAAATAAGTGTGACAGTAAGCAGAGATAAAGTTGCAAGGTTACTAACTCCAGCTTTATTCATAATAATAAAACGGAGTAACCAACAGATGTCTTAACTGTATAAAATTGGTGATACAAATAATAACACCAAAATGAGGGTGGCTCCACATCTGCCTCCATGGAGAAAGAGTAACTCATTTCTGAGCAGAATATATAGTTTTATATATTATTATCCTGTTTTACATATTTATTTATGGATAAGGATGAATATTTTAAACACATACATGTGTAAGCTAGTATAGTTTTATAAATAGCATAATGTTGCATCTATTACATATGAAGGTACTTCACAAAGTTTGATCAGAATTGCAAGAAAGTTTTGATATAGATGCACATTTTTCATAATAATCATTTCCCATGTTCTTTTAAAAGCACTTTGAATTAATGAATACATATATTTTATGTGAATGTGAAAGCTTTGAGGTTATATACATCAACATATATCTCTTGTTTCTTATTTCTACTTGTATTTTCAGGTTTTTTCCTATAATTACATTTGCATGTTCTTATACTATGCAAATTGATGTTTAGATGGTAACAGCTAGCAGAGTTTATGATTAATTGGACAAAAAGAAACAAAACTAGTGGATCTCAGCAAGTGAGGTAGAGCAGGAGTCATAGATTTCCCTGGGGAAATCAAAGGAACTGGGATTGGGATTTTTTGCATTGGAAATGCCTCCAAGTTGAAATGACCCTTGAAGAGAGAGAGTCAAGAGAAGAGATGTGAAAACTATCCAGGGGATGGCGAGCTGAGATTTATTTGGCTGAATTGCTCAATGGTTTAAACACTCTTGTTAACAGAAACTTGTCTAAATTTAAACTTAAAACTAAGGTCTACCTAGATCAGATTAATTGCATGGCATCCATTTGGTTCATCAAGGCTTAGGTTAAAAACCTGGCACTCTGATTCACAATCAGATATTACCAGATAGTTATTTGTTGACCTGATTATTTTTATCTTAAAATAAAATGGCACTTGGAACCATCATAACATTTATGGCACCCACTTGAAAGTAGATCTGAAAGTCAGTTTTCATAGCAGCTACCATCTATGAGACCTTTCAGAATCAGGAGGAAAATTGCAGTCATCACATTTCTTGGCAGATAGTACATCTCCATTTTCTCAAAAGAGTTTTTGTTATTGCTGCTGCTCTTGTTTTAAGTTCTGTGAATTAATATGCATTCATAGGCTTGCCTTGAAAGTCCTTGAGATTTTGGTTCCCAACCCGTAAACTCCTACGGTATATTCTTCTACCTAGTTCCATTCAGAACTTATTTCTGTTCTAAAATTGAGAGATCATTTTTGGCCAGTTGAGTTTATTTAGCCATCTGACCTACCCGAAGGAGTCTTCTCCAAAGAATTTGTTTGCAAGTTTTGGTCAGGTGGGGGTGAGGACGGCCTTTAGAGGCAGTGTCAAAAACTGAGAATGATAGAAGACTATATCCTCTAAGTTCGTACTCCGACTTCTGTAAGGTAACTCATGTATTTTAGTCTTTTACACAGACTAGCTAATGCAGGAAACCAGGTCACAGAGTGAGCACAGAGCAATAGTAAGACCTTAGAGCTGACAAAGGTGTTTCCTTAGCAGTTGACAGGGAGTTGATCGTTTTCTCGAGTCATTTGCACCAGTTCAAGCTGCTATCGTAATTGGCCATGTGCGCATTAGTTCTCGGAACTGACATTCGGAGAGGAGATGCTGAGTTGAACTCTGCTTTGCTTTTTGTGTGCCGTCCCAGGAGCAGGCTTCCTGGGTGTGTCAGTGTGACGACAACATGGTTCAGAGACTAGAAACAGACTTCAAGATGACGCTTCAGCAGCAGAGCACTCTGGAGCAGTGGGCTGCGTGGCTTGACAATGTGATGATGCAAGCATTGAAACCCTACGAAGGAAGACCCAGTTTTCCAAAAGCTGCCAGGCAATTTCTGCTAAAATGGTCTTTCTACAGGTATTGTCTTAATTTTTTCCTGAGATTCCTTCTTGAGTTGTCTGTAACAGTGGGAGTGCCTCTGTGATAGAAACAAAAACATACATGACGAATTTCATTTGTGAGGACCCCCTTGTTTTAACTAGTTTCAAGCAGACTCAGTAAATGCAGGGCTTGGACACGAATCCAGAATTTTAGAGGAATATGTTTGGCTGGAATTGGACATGCTGTTGTAAGAGCTCTAGAAGTTCTCAAAGTTTGAACACCTAGGATTCCAGTGTAGATCATGTGTTCACAATAGTTTCTAAAGGCCTCTAAAGTACTTCCTGAGGCAGTTGACATAGGTGGACTTCTCCTTTGGGCCTTAGTGCCATGTTTCTTTGGTTCTGTTGTCCCTTGATCCTCACGTCATCGGCCCTACCCCAGCTGCATCACTACCACTTGGGAATGTGTAGGGAATGCAGTCCTAGGCCTTCATCCTAAACCTGCACAAGTCAGAGTTTGTGTAGACACAGCAGCCTGTGTTTGAAAGTGCCCCGGGTCATTCTAAAGGATGCTTGAAAGTGTCGAGGTAATTTATTTTGAATTCCAAGTGTTTGCTAACATTGCTGTACATTGGAATTCATGCAGAAAAGGAAGGAAGAAGGAAGGAACAGAGGGAGTGAGAATGAGGGAGGCAGGAAGGGGAGAGGAGAGGAATGGAAAGGAAATGGAGGGAAATGAAAAAGGGAAAGGAAAGAAAGTCATATTGCCTTCTGAGACCTATACTCTGTTGCAAGGCTTGAAAATAACATTTATTAGCAGTGGAGGTCAACATTTATAACACACACACAAACACACACACAAAATGGGTTGGCTGATGGAGTTGTTTTCATAAGTTACATAAATTCTTTGTTTTCAAAGGTTTATTGATTTAAAAGGGAGAGAGAGAGAGAATCTTCCTTTGTGTAGTTCCTTTGGTGCCTTGACAGCAAGATGTGGTCCAAGCTGCAGCCAGGAAGGAGCTCCGTTTGGTCTCTCACATGGGTTGCTGGTATTTGGGCCATCTTCCACTGCTTCGCTCCATCTGAAGTGGAGCAGTTGGCCATCCAGTCTGGAATGCCAGCATCAAAAGCAATAGCTTGTATTGCTGAACTGCAATGCCAGTTCCTGCATTTTGTCTTTAAACACAGGTTATTTGTTCTTGTGAAAGTTTGTTTGTTTTGCTTCTTTAGTGAAAGGTAGTCCCACTGACTTGGGCCTAAAAGCCATTGCCTCTTCAAAGCATAAGTAACACTTAATAATACAAATTGTCTTGTAAATGTGAAAAAGCTGTGGCTGCAGGACATATCCATGACTGTCACTGTGGTCAGCATGTGGAAGCCAGCAGTGAGGCCAAAGGTGACTGAGAATAAATGACCAAAAGAATTCATGGACTCGAAGTGCCCGTGGTCCTAGGAGAGCCAGGAAGAGGATATCCACCTGCTTTCACCACATTGGTGAAGACAGAACCAGAGCTCTTTGGATTATGATGTCAGTTGCTTTGATGTTTATTATAAATGACTTTGTTACTGCAATGACTTGCACAATCTTTAAAAAAATTTTTTTTTGAAGAATTTATATATGTATTTGAAAGGCAGAGTTACAAAGAGAAGGAGGGATGGAGGGAGAGAGGGAGAAATTTTCTATCCACTGGTACACTCAGCAAATAGCCACAATGGCCATTGACGGGCCAGGCTAAAGCCAGTTGCCAGGAGCTTCATCTGTGTCTCCTGTTTGGATATAGGAGCCCAGACATTTGGGCCATTCTTTGCTACCTTGCTAGGTACATTAGCAAGGAGCTGGATCTGAAGTGGAGCAGCCAGGATGTGAACTGGTACCCATAAAGGAATCTGGTGCTGTAGGCTGGAGCTTAACCTGACACACCAAAGCAGTGGCCCCTGACTCTTATTTCTTATCTGAAGTGGAGGTGGTAGATGAGCTCTACCTGCTAAATTATCCTTATGTCCTAAAGATAGCTTTCTTGTGTCTATCCAAGTCAAGTACGGTAAGAGAAAACCTGGTCATATTTTATTATCTCATTTTTTTGAATACTGATGTAATTCCACATGCCTGCTTTTTATCTTGAATACTCTGTTCGCTCCTGTGAAATGGGAGGCACACTAAGACATTCTCTGGCTCTCTGACAAACCGGTAGGATACGGGAAGCTGCCAGTGCCCGGTGGTAGGTTTGGATGTGGGCGTTAACAGGAAATTTTAGTCACTCCTTGACACTTGGGGAAGGTTTGGGAAGAAGTGTCAGAGTGTTGTCAGATAATGTGCACCAACAGCGTTAACAATGATCACGTTCACAATTTTAACTTGGGAGCAGATTTCAAATGTTTTCCCATTGACTTGGACGTCAGCATTTTATTCATCAGTTTTCCTCCAGAAAATGATACACATGGCATGGGGCATGCATTCCAGGAGTGATGGCTAGAGTGGCAGTAATGCTTTCCACCGTCTTGGATGCCCGCAGGTCAAGTCCATCCTGGGCATCAGAAAAAGTAATTCTTTATCATTTTCCTTCTGCAATTTTCATGCATTGTCAGTGTCAACCTGGCCTTCACTCCTTCCTCTAATTTTTTACATGGGGTTGATCTGTTTTTGGAAAAGGCACCCCTTTAGTCTTCTGTGTGTGGGGATACACTGCAGATTTCTTGAAAGGAGAGAAAATTACTTGAGTTGGTCTTCTCTCCATAACACAACCCCAGCTCATTGTCACTTGCCTGCCCTCTGTCCTCCCCGAGCCAGGGATAATTGGCTTGTTATTATTAGACACCATTATGGTTATTGTTTTCATTTCAAAAAGACTCGAAGGCGTGCAGTCCTGGTCCGCCAGAGGAAAGACACATGCGTGCAGATGCGTCCCTCCCGCTGGTGGACAAAGTCGGTAGCAGAGAGATGTAAGGCCCCTTAATGTCTGAGCTGGTTTTCACTGAGGCGTAAGACCGTATTGAGTGTTGGAAACTGTAGTCACAGCACATCAGAAAAGCAGAAACACATTATTTTAAAAAAAATAGCGTTGGCATTGTAAATGTCAAAAATCTGTAAACTTTATGGCCACCATTGTAAATCTGGCAGTCACATGCCGACCCTTCATTTTCTAGAATCAATTAATCTCCTAATTTCTAACAGTCCGTGTATGAATTTATGTGCTCAGAAAGCTGGAAATCTCCTGGCAAAGAACCTAAATGGCATCTGTTGACACACACTGGCCAAACCAGGGGTCTCGCCTCACCTGCTCTGACTCTGAATGGCTGATGTTGGCCCCTTGGGAAGCAGGAAAAACAAGCCACTGCTTTTGGCAGACGGAAATGACACGGTGTATGGGCCATTTCTGCACTCGGTTGCCTTGTGGGTGGCAGGAGGGCATATTCCTCACCCAAACATCACATTTTTAAAGGACAAAAAGCACTCCTGAACAGGATGTGGACATGGAAGCGAGTCTGCCTGTATCCCAACAATATGTGAATCTTCCAGAAATTAATACTGCGAACTGTGAGCACTGTTGAGAGAGAGAGCTCACGAAGGGGTCACAGGTGTGTTGTTTTCACGTCCCTTCTTGGGGAGGATGTGACACACCTTGGGCAGACAAAGACATAGATTGTGCGGCTTCACAGTGTGTGTTGCAGTTCCCACACCTTAAGTTGCCATGCTAAATACACAAACTTACTTCTCATCCATTATCAAATAATTAATGTTTACAACTGATTTTAAAAGGGGTTGAGTTCATGGTAACTTAGCAACATGAAATTCAATGGAGTCAATTTTTCAGTAATCTTGCAGAAGTCTGGATTGGACAATAGAGTTGCAATTAAACTGTTAATTGTGTCATGTAGGGCAGAGGTTCTGTGTAGAGTGAATAAGGTGCACATTGCATTGATGATATAATTCAGCTGCTTTTTTCTCTAAACATACAAGAATGATTTCATGAAACGTTTGTTGCTGCTTTTGAAAAAAAATAACTGGGTATGAAAATGGAAAGCCAGCAGATGATTGAAAGGATTTCTGATGGAATTTGCTAATGCTGATTTATTTTATTCTAAAATATAGCCATTGCCTGATCATCCAGAAGTTTCTGAAACACCTAAGTACAGCCCCTGAGTCTTCAGACGACACACAGGGTTAGGGTCATGGTCCACCGGCTCGTGACCCGCAGAGCCTGTCCTGCACGGTTCTCTTTGCCCACCACATGAGCCCCCAGGCTGTGCTGCAACTACAGCTGTTCTGCTTTGCTCTCCTTTCCCAGGCAGCTGCTCTGCAGTGTTGCCAGGATTCTCCCAGTGTCCTCTTAGACCCGTCAGCCCCTCGGGATTCTCCCGCTGCCTTGTCAAACTGCCTGCCCTCATCACACAGAATCTCGGAACCGAACTTAGAGGATTTATAACTGTCTGACTCTGGATTTTAAATCTGATTGGGTCTTTACCATTTTTCCAGCTAGAGTTCTTTTTTAACCAAACTTGTCATAGAGCAAAACTCTGGAACACAATGAATAAAAAGTTAACTGTATTTGAATTAATGCAATGTAATAAATAGATACTGTGTTTCAGTATTGATATCAGAAAAATGCTCATTATAAACATTCATTTTAGCAGTTCATATGATTTCAGGGTTATTATATTCCAAGGGAAATATAAAGGCCTAAATTTCAGTTAAGAATTAGATAAATAACATAGCTCCTATGGTATTTAATGTATGCATATATTTATTGAGATCCAGCTGATCCAGGGTTGCCTTTCTATGTTACAATGAATGTCAGCTTTTAAAACAAAACTGTGTTTTTTAATCTATGAAATTAGAGTGCACTTAGAGAAGAAAAACCTATAATATACAAAAACTATACAATGAATCGACTCATTCATAATATTACTATTCGTAAGTATCCATGGTCAAATATATTTTATTATTTGTTAGAATTCAGTTTTCAGGCATAGTTTATTAGCTTCCTTTTTATAAATATGTTAAGTGATGCAAAGTGGCAAATGGTGAGGCTGGCATCATGTTTTTGTTAGTAAAGTTGCCAGTTCATGTCCTGGCTGTTCCACTTCCCATTCCGCTCCCTGCTTGAGGCCTGGGGGAATCAGCAGAAGATGAGCTAGATGTTTGTGTACTGTTGCCTATCTGGGAGACCAAATTGAGCTCCTGGCGCCCAGATTGGGCCTGATGTGGTACTGGCCATTGTGGACGTCCAGGGAGTAGTGAAGCAACACATGGAAGATCTCTCTCTCTCTCTCTCTCTCTTTCAAATAAATAAAATTTTTTAAAACTACATATTCAAAGTAACTAATGGAGGTTTGCAAAGTAGCACAGTGGAGCTAAATTAACTTCTTGGGATGCCCACATCCCTGAACTTCTGCTCCTGATGTGGCTTCCTGCCAGTGGGCCCGTGGGGCAGCACTTGATAGCTCCAGGACTGATCTGCCACGCGTGTGCAACACCCAGATGACGTGCTGTGACTTGACCCAGCCAGCCCTTGTTGTTGCAGGCATTTCAGCAGCGAACCAGCAACAAATAGAAGACCTCTTTCCCCCTTTCTCTCTCTCTCTCTCTCTCCCTCCCTCCCCCTCTCTCTTCTCCTTTCTGTTTTTCTCTGCCTTTCAAATAAACAAATTAATGAGTAAACAACATTTTTATAAAGCGACAAATGCTGCTTTAAAGAAGCATGCTCTGAGTGCTAATACATTATCAAATATCACTACTTAGGGCTGGTTTTTTATATGTATGGAGTTTCTATATAAATGCACTCATATTTTGCTTCTTTAACTTGTCATATTAGAACATGGGTACTTTTCTTGGTAAAAGTTGTATCTTTACCTCGTTTTTTTGGAAAATCAGCATAGGGGCTCATGTTGTGCTTCTGGTTAAGCAGTGGCTTGCAAAACCAGCATTGCAGGTCAGAGCACTGGTTGCGATTCTGGCTGGCCCCCTTCTCATCCAGCATTCTTGCTAATGTCCCAGAGGAAGGCAGCAGAAGCTGACCCGGGCATATGGGTCCCTGCCATCCACGTGGGAGACCCAGGGTGACCTAGCTGCCACCTTCACACTGTCCAGGAATGAAGGACCATTTGAGGAGTGAACCAGGAAATGAAGGTTTCCCTGTCTTTCCTTCTCTGTCACTTTCCCTTTCCAATAAGTAAATCTCTCGTTAAAACAAGAAGCAATTACATAAAATCCCATCAATAAATGGATCATAATTCGTTTTTCTTCTTACTAATGAATGTTTAGTTTTTCTGCTTTCTCACTGCTATAAATATCGCTTTAGCTAAAACTGTCTTTGTACATCTGTACAAATGTATTGATTTAGGATTTGGGGATCATAGGTTTTGACAAATATTGACAAATTCTCCAGCAAAATTTCTCAATGTTAGATTTAATCAGGTGAGACAATTGGAGAATTCTTTACCCAGACCACTCTAAGTACTTTAATCTCATACAGTAAACATACGTAACATGTGTTATCTCGCTTGACTTTGCTTTAATTCTATATTTGTGAGCCATTTTCCCCTACAAACTCTTTGTGGAAAGTACTTTGAAGAAGTACTTTCCTTTCTTCAATAATACAGACGCAAGTAGGAAAATAATATTTTTCTGCTATATACTTTTCAAATTATTTACTTCAATTTTGTATCAGTATGAGATAAAACATAGCATTGTATTGTTTTATTCCTGGTTTTGCTTTTTTTGCTTGGAGACTCAGCTTTTCAGTATTTTTCAAGAAGTAATTCCCTGGAAATACTGGTTATGAACCTAAAAATGTCACTAACTCTAATGTATGTAGCAGTACGGTGGAGGGTAGTTTTTTAAGATCATGCAGTAAGAACATCCATATCCGTAGAGAATCCTTCCAGCACGCACAATGAGTCTGAAGCCACAAAAAAGAAATGTCTGCTCCATCTTAACTAAGCACTTAATGTACACCGTGGGCATAACTTTTGTAGTTTCATGGATGGCTGCAGAACTAGCAGGATTTATTTATTTATTTATTTTTTGCATGTATCACCTTGTATATCAAAAAAGTTTATTCTGAACTACATCCTAGCATCCTTAGGATATAATTTTCTTGTTTAAGTCAAGCAATTTCACCCTTTAACTCAACGTGGCATGCTTTCTGACTGCACTTTGATAATATCCACATCGCTACTGTCACCAATCTTGCAAGTCCAGGCCATTATCTATCAAAATGAAAACCACTTGATACAAGGTCTAGAGTAGCGCTTGACAGTTGATCAGATAGGCAAGGTGCTCACCTAGTGTCCTCTTGGGCAGTTAGTGGGTACAGCAAGGATGCGTGGGGCAGAGGGACGACTCACAAGCTATTAGACAGTAGGGCAGAGCAGATGGCATCAAATTTGATGATGCTCATCAGAACAGCATTCAGTCTAAACCTTAGGAGTCATAGATTGGTGGCATTTTCAATGAAGTATTTTTGGATTGCAGTTAAGCATGGAAACTGAAGGCTTGGAAACTGAAAATAGGAATAACGTGCAAGCATTATGCATTATCTTATCTGATCCCTAAGCTAAACTCTGTACTTTAGGAAAGACAATGTGATCAGGAGCTGTAACAGCACGTTATAATAACCTTGATCTCTGCAGCTCCAAACCTGTGCTTTTTTCTTTAATAGAAGTACATCTGCAAATATGGAGGCTTTCCGCCATCATCCATTCTTGCTGCCATAGCAAAGAAGTGTAGGAAAAAAAGTACTTTCTCTTAGTTTGTGTTACTGTCACAGTCACTTATATTTGAGGTGTATTCATGAGTGGATTTCATTTCCCTTTAATTCATTTTATCCTTGAAATTATAAAGGAAGTTAAAACGTTGCTTTCATTTTAACCTAAGAAGAAATGTAATTTCAGGAAAATAATCCTTTGGAGGTTGGCAGTCAGTTAAAAAAGAGCCAGCTCAGACTACAGCCCTCCACATTTGAAATGTGTAAGAATGGTCTGTCACGAGCCAAGTTGAGTGTATGAAATGTGATGTATTCGTTGTAGTACGCATCTCTACTCCCAAATAACAGTAGAACTGCCAGTGAAATGTTTAAATATACATTCACAGTGTGGTACTGGATTTTCTGCTTTGCCTATACCTACCGTGTCATGTTGCATTTAAATAGCTGAAAGGTAAACTTGTGCCTATGACTAAGGGACTCTAACCCGTGATGATTCAGGGGAAAACTTGGAAGGAGGAAGGAAACCCTGTCCCTACAAAACTGCATCATGGAGTCATAATAAAAGAAAAAAAATTGTGAAGTATTAGTAGCCTGCATTTCAATAAGTTTGAAAATGAAGTAGAAAACAGAGTGTAGTCTTTTGTTTTTTTCCGGTTGCCTGACATTTTCCAATTCTGCATTTCAAAGTAAGCGTTGAGAATATCAGCCTAGACATTTGTAAGTCATCTCTTCCTTCTGAGAATGGAATGGCTACTTTGGTGTTCATATTTACACTGGAGATCTCTTTGAAAGAGGTCACCTTTTCCAGCTTCTTGTAAGAGGACGAAGAGGTTGAACTCTGACCCTTGACACTAATTTTCTGCCTGTGTACGTGTGTTTTCTCTTGGTACAGCTCAATGGTTATTCGGGACTTAACCTTACGCAGCGCCGCTAGCTTTGGCTCCTTCCACCTTATCCGTCTACTCTACGACGAATACATGTTCTACTTGGTAGAGCATCGTGTCGCTCAGGCAACTGGAGAGACACCTATAGCAGTCATGGGCGAGGTAAGAGAGGCGAGAAGAGCCGTGACCTACTGGAATTGGTAAAAGGAGACTCAGTTGTGCTGCCGTCTGAAGATAGTCTGAATAAAACAGTACATGACCCCGAGTCAGGGGGTTGGGCTGTGGAGTTAGCATAAGGACCCTTAAACCTCTCAGTTCATAATGTATAGTCAAAAATGATTTCAAAATTGAAGATTGAATCATGTGAAAGTTTGTGAAACATTTGTGTGTTTTTAGATGGATTTATGTTAAAACTCTAGCAAGCCAATGCATAATAACAGGAAAAAAGTTCCTCTTGAGTAGGAAATAAGAAAGGTTTTTCCTTCTGATTAGTCTAGAGGATAGGAATGACAAGGAGAAGGTTGCATATATATTTTCTAGATTGTTTTTTCCAGTCCCCCAAAACAAGATGAACGATTCTGCTTTAGAAGGCTAATGATGATGACAGCTGTGTGCCGGACGTTTGCCATATATATGCCAGACACAATTCTAAATTCTTGATAGAGAGTAAGGCATTCAACAATTGCAGTTCTTTGGGATATTCTCGACTTTCCCTTGTTGTATAGATGACAGATAGATTAGATTGTCAGCTAGCTAGTCATTGATGGAAAACTTGTCCAAGCACCATCTTTCAAGCCCTTGCTTTTAACCACTAACTAACTGAGAAAAACAAGTCTTTTCTTTAGAATTTCTGAATAGCAATCAGGTGTGCCCAAGTATGGGCACTGTATCATTCTGCTGCATTGGACTTATTTTATAACCTTGCTGGATTGTATCACATTAGATAATCTCACACAGGCCCAATACAATAAGGAAGGCATGTTATTCTTAAGCCTTGTATTTGAACTTACTTACATTTTTAAAAACAGTAGAAGTATTATTAGATACTTTTTCTAGCATAATAAGTAGAAATATCAAATTTTAAATTAAAATATGTTAAATAAGTGTTCTGCTATAAATCTAATGCATGCTGAAGTTACTCAGAATGTCAGTTGAAATATTCCTTTCTCTTCACAGCTCCTTTGCTGTGTACCGATCTGTATGTCACCATATGAAGTCCCATATTGGTGGTTGTGCTCAGTTATGCCAGATGTGTGTGTGTGTGTGAGAGAGAGAGAGAGAGAGACAGACAGAGAGAGAGAGAGACAGCCTAAGTTACTGAAGCCCTTGAAATTATAGACAGTACCTTCTGATCAAAACAGGATGTGAAAGATTCAGCTTCCCTTTGCTCTCTAACTCTTTAATTGTCCAACTGTCCTACTGTTTAATCTTTTTTTTTTTCTAAATGCCCAGTTGGCCTGTTATTAGTGCCCTAAAATTTCGCAGCCCAGGGTTTAACACTGCTGGAGTAGACATGCCACTTAGTACGTTTTACATCAACTTGATGTATGTTTTACATCAAATCTACGTAGTACATTTACATCAACTAGATTTATTTCTGAGCCTCTTTCATAGAATGAACAGGACAATTATAACAGGGTCTCCTGTCACTAACGTGTGGCTAATCCAGATGAATGGCCTTGCCTCCCTTGCATCACGAGGGAACAGAGGCAGTGGACCAGAACCGGTCACTCAGTATAAAGCTTTAGCAACATCCTTGGGTACTTGAATAGGCAGTGTTGGCTCAGAGTGAAAAATGGGCTTTGCGGTCAGTACAGCCAACTCAGGATCTTAAGTGTTTAATATCATTATTACCACATGTGAACAATGTAAATATGAACATTATAGAATATCATGAGGCAAAGGTCCATGAATAACATCTCAATGAAAACATGTCATCAGTAAGATAAAAAAAATCTAAGCATACTTCTTAACCGAGTTTATAAGAAAATCCCTTGAGTTGCTGTACTCATCTATTAGTCAGCCTGGAAGACAAATTAAGTCTGATTGTATGTGGTTGATCTTCCCATATATTAGTGCCTCAGATACCTCTTCACTGTCTTAGACTTGTTGACCATGATCATGTTGTGTCTATAGTTCATTGAGTCTTGGGGAAAAGGAAAAATCAAGGGAGAGAAAGGAAATATTTCCCTGTCCCTCTTATATAAGGTTATTCTCATGGCCCCTTAAAGAGTTACCCTTTCCAAACACCACATCCAACAATGCCTGGGAGCAACATATTGTCAAAACTCCATTGAAATCCCTAGAAGTCACCATGATCTTAAAGCAGCTAATGGTTTTCAATCATCAGTTACAATACACACTGCAAAAAAAAAAAAAATCATTGTTTGACTATTTATTATGAACTCATTATGTCCCTACTGAGATTAGGTTCAGGATTGATTGATCCTGTAGTGGCTTTGTCAGGGCAGTTGTTCCATGTTCTTCCCTGTTGAACATGTTGCACATCTGACGTCATCTTCTCACCATAGCTTGTCCTTCTGTTTGGATCCCTCTCTTGAGCAAATGTCTTTTCCCAGACTCCTTATAGTGCAGTCCACATTGTATGCCCCACATCAATCCCCTTTATGATTTTTTTTCTTTAATTTGGTTAGGGCACAGTTATAGTCTTCCCTTAGACGTTCTGCCTTTGCCAAGATGTTAGCTTGCATCTCCAGCCTTTTCCTTCTTACGTTACATTCATAGTGACCTGTTGTTCTTATTCATTAACTTTTTCTCATCTTTGGACCGCTGTGCTTGTATAAATGATTCTTTGTATCTGGAACTTTGTGCCCACCTCTCCTGACCCACCCTAACTCCTACTTCATGTCTTAAATATCGACTCCTCAGGGAGACCCAATTCTCCATGCCAGTTGAAGACAATCCTTTTCTCAATGACTTGTGTCTTTATATTTCAGTCTAGAATTGACACAGTACTCATTTCATGAGTCTTTATATGATTTGTGTATTTGGAGATTTTAGTACCTAGAAATAGTACAGCACTTGAAATCACAAGAATTGAATTCTGCTTTCAGTTCTGTCATTTACAGTGACATCATCTTGGGAAACTGCACCCACCAGTGAGAACTCTCGTCTCTGAAATTAGTACATTCATGTATTTAATAACTGCTTCTCTTTGTATGTACCTCCATGCCAGGCACTGCAGTGCTTAGGATTTAATTTTAGAGGAACAAAGTAGATTTGACCCTGCCTTTAAGAAAGTTTTGGTTTAGTTGGGGGCTACATAATTACCGAATAATCACATAACTACAAATTCTGCTAAGTGCAAAGTGGAGTGCTTAAGAGATGAAGCACTTAATCTCACCTGAACATGAAACAGAAGAAAAATATCTTCAGAATCAAAAACTTGCTAAAAATTAAGTGCTATATCGTGTTGAAGCACAGTTCATGATACATAAATGCTAAGAAATGTACTAGGCTTACACTGAAAATGTACTTGTGCAGCAACAGACTAGAAATAATAGAGCATTTTAAAAGAAAAGAATTGTACTGCACATTGGGGTGTTTTGCAGGATAAAAGCCACGTAGGAATAACAATAGCTTAGCAAATTTAAGGAATTCTTACCAAAATTATGTTGTAGTTTTTTTGTTTGTAGTAAATTGTATGAATTTATAAATATTTTTCTAGATAAAGATAGGCCATGTGACCGTCACAGAACTAGGTGTTTTGTTTTCCTAAATTAATATTCATCAAAACCTTGCAAAATATATACTGCTAACCTTATTTCTCCAATAAGGAAAACAGAGGTCAGAAGCTGGCCCAAATCAAAACGTGGCAAGCAGTGGAACTAATTTGAAAAGCTACTTTGTAAAAGTGTCTTTCAAAAGCAAAGCTAATTTGTAATTTGGATTGTCTCACTCCAAATAGCCACAAGGGCCTACTCCACATAACAGTCATGTACCATATAGGTCGTCTATATGGAGTTTCAGATTAAGGACTGTTTACTGCATTAGTTTATTTTTGTTTGTACTATGCAACTCCCCTAAACACACACACACACACACACACACACACACACACACACACACACACACACACTCTTTCTCATGCAGTGATAAACCAGTCAAATGCCTGACATACAAGCTTTCATTATTTTGGTCCAGTGCTTCTTTCCTCTGCCATGCTGAGGGTCTCCTGATAGCCCCACCACCATGCCCCCATTTACTTTTTTTGTTAGAGATATTCAGAACACTACAAACTTCATGGAATGTTATTTGAGGAAAATTATAACTGGAAAGCTAAATGTGACTGAAAACAACAAATTGCAATCTTTAGCTCCTCAGTACCCACCCACAGATCAGACTGAAAGCAAAATTACATTTTTAGAATTTGAAGTTTGTTTATAGCTTAAAATCTGTTCCTCCATATTAGCACAGTTTCTGACAACTGTAAGGTGAATCGTGACAAAGGAAGCCCTTCTCCAATCTCATCCTCCAAGTTGAAGAACTGACTTGAGGAAAGTTGTGCCATTTTTTTTTCTACCTTTCCATGGCTCGTCATTCTGTTCGTTTCCCTCGAGGGCCTCTGCTCATTAGTTTCCTCTACTTGACTCTATACTTGCTGGCTGTGGACTGTTACTTCTTTTCTCATCTTTGGGGAATGGAGCGAATCTTGCTCATGACTCTGGCCCAAACACTCCACAACAAGTGCTCGAAGAGTACTCATTCACAGAAAGAAGCACAAGGTTTGAAGTGGCAGGACTTGTCACTGGATGGAGTCATTCAAATAGCAGACTGCCGAAGCTCCTGGGTCAATAAGTCACCTTCTGCCTAGATTGAGCCTGTCAGGGTTTCAGAAAATGCCTGTACCTTGTTGGGTTTCCCCAAGTGATTAGAACACAGCAGTTTTCCTAATGAGTTTCAAATTGGGAAAAGAAACAAAAAAAGTTAAAGATTTCATGGACCACTGGAAGACCACAATGGTCACTGTCTCACCTCCTGGTTCCCTTCATCAGGACCCAACATCAGGTAATTTTTTTCAGCGAGGGTCCTCAGCCTGGGTCAGCTCCCACCAGAGGGCCTATTGAGGTATAGAGTCCCTGGTGTAACGTAAGTGTGATAGCTCCACCTACTGGCCTCTGCCACACTCTGTTTCCAATGAC